TGAATTTCAGCCACTAATATTATGTTGATGTGATGCAGCTTATGACAAATTTGCTGCAATGCATTTTTATGCATTTTATCCAATTTTTCTGAAATTTCTGAAACTGAAAATATTCGTCCGAAATCATTGACACATTTCGTTAGGTAGCACTTCTGCAATGATATGTTTTGACTCGGTCAGCATCTACTTTTCACACACATTGTGGATAGGCTACTACAGATAAACTTCACTGTGACCAGAAATGATGCTGGAGTATCAATAAGTATGATTTGTTGGCCTAAAGAGGCGAATACTCTTGAATTTGAATTTAATTACTCAATCTTTTTTTTGTTGTTGTTGTTTTGTTTTTGGTTAAATTAAAAATTGAATTTCACTTTTGGTGTTTCCAAAAAAAAAAACATTTTGGTGTATCGCTAAGTTAAGTTATATTTGTTTTAACATTCACTGAAACTGTTTATCCATTGTTTATTACCCATAATTCTACTTTAACACTGACCTTTGATATGTTCAGAATTTTGAACATGGTCACACGACAAGGTGCATCATGGGCCAACACACTAGGATCTGTGGGTAAGAAAGGCATTGAATTCAAACAGCTTGTGTAAAAGAATATCACATCTGTTGCGTAATTAATTGTAGAAACTTAAAATTCTGAAGAGAAATAAAATGTTGGTTTCTCTTTCTCAACAGCTCTTTTGTATAGTGTTTTCGGTGTGGCCATTGAGAAGGCTAGGGGCGCAGAGGATGACCTCAACACAGTGGCAGCCGGAACGTTAACAGGGATGCTTTTTAAATCCACAAGTGAGGAAAAGGGACAATATCATGGCCATCATTGATTTAATCTAATGAACATTGTTTATTGTATTTATTGATAAAAATGTACATTTATTTTGTACAGCTGGACTCAAAGGAGCTGCCAGAGGAGGTCTCGTTGGTTTAGCCATGTCAGGCCTGTATGCTCTTTACAACAACTGGGATCACCTGAAGGGGACATCGCCTTCACGTTACTGAGGATGACTGAGAGCTCAAACCATGGACTTATTTTGACTCTGAGCCCATTCTTAATTTTATGACCCCCTTTTGGAGATGCATCCATTTCTTCTTTATGAAACCCGTGGACCACCACACGTGCACAGACTTCTTCAGTTACATTAAGTGTAATATTTAAATGGAAGAGCCAGACTGCCTCCAGATTACTTAGTGTGGATTAAGTAGCTGTGAATTTGCTGGTACTGTACATGTCTTTTTTGGTGCAAGTTGCAGGAACTCTGTATCCTTTAATCATGAGGTTTTATCTGTTCTCATTGTGGATTGATGCATTTTGTCAATGCAGACTAAACTGGCTGCTTCCTCTCTGAAACTGTAAAAAAATAAAATACAAGTTTCCACTGTTTGAGACTCTTCATTTGCATTTTAGTGATAATAAAATAATGGAGTTGTGTAATACAGAATTTCTATTTGTTGTGCATGAATGGTACACCATCCTGTATTCATGTAGTTCTAAATAATGCGTATAATGCAGATTTTACCTCGTGTGTCACCCCAGCCAGTCACCCAACAGTAGTGCCCTGGTTTAAGGTTGATCTGCTTGCGCGGCAGGCAGGCATAGCGGATGAAGTTACTGGTTTGGATGTCCGTGGCAGCTTTAACCAATGCGATGTCATAGTCCAGCTCACTGTGGGCTGGATAATGAAAGTGCTCATGCCTGTAGATCCTCTTCACTGGAAAAATACGCTCAGCGGACTCAGCTCTTTTCAGTTGATGCTTACCCAAAACGATACGCCAGCTACTAGCATCCTCTGCTTTTCCCCTGGGCAATGAAGAGCACAAAGAGCGGAACTTAACACACAGATGTTTATGAATTTGAGCACTTAAAGGGGAAAAGAACCAGGAGCATTGCCCTGCATAAATTTAAGCAAGTTCTGCCTCTACTGGTGATACACTTATGATTTGCCTTACTTCTGGAAGTAGTGAACAGCAGTAAGAACCCAGCTCTTATGGATCAGAGTCCCTCCACACACATGAACATAATGTTTACTGCCTCTAGGACGAACCTATAAAAATAGATACCAGCTTAAGTGACTTCCTCTTATGTTGCACCTTGAGATGTTCCGTGTCATATCAAGTGGAATTTACCTGCAGTGAGACTTGCCACGGCCAGGAGTGGGGTCTCGCTTCGTTGCCTGACACAATACGCTCCACTGTGTTTGGTTTGAAATGAGGCAGGCCACAGTCCTTCGGCCAGTCTAAGGACAGAACAACACTTATGTCAATGTCAGTTAAAGTACCATGTAGACAAGCAAACACAAGGTACACAGGATTTATGAAAGGATTAGCAAATGAAAGGTGTTGTACCAGGAGAGGAAAGAAGGAAAGGAAATCCATATTTGGATCTTTGAGAAAGACATAGAAATAAGTGTAAATTCAGTTTTTCAACACTTGTAATCCACTTGAAAGATGTCAGGTGGTCAGCTTTCATATAGTTTCTCACCGAGGTGGAGGACTTTGTGCTGTTGAAGGCGACTGGGGTTGAATGCATGGGTGGAGGCTCTGTCCAGCGCCAGACCCAGCAGCATTAGCAACAGTGGAAAAAATGGGCTTCTCACTGCCATGATCTACAGTAAACTGTGTGTTGCGCATTGGAGATTACCCATTTATACTATGCCTGGTGCAGGGCCCATCCTTCGTGCACTCAACGCCCCTGCCATTGGGACAAAGCACTTTGACAATACCCCTCCCAATCCTGGATTGTTCTGGTGGGGTAGCCGAGGGTTTTCGGAACAAGCTGGCCCCATGGGATCATGGGAGTCCCATCAGCACTTTCAGCTACAGCCCGTCCCTTGCCACTGTGCAAAACAACTCGCCCAGAATAGATTGCCAGTAGACTCCTTACAGTCACGCCATGCTGTTTGGATGAGGAGAGGTGCTGACCTTCACGTGACCTTCTGTTGCTTTCTGAAACCTTGCAGGGCCCACGTTATACCTTGGAAAACCCTGATAAATTATTAACAAGATCATGACTGATATGTGTCGTTTAAATATTCATTTCATTAAAGATTAGCAGAACCTGTTTTTAGTAAGCACTCATTTATCCAAAGTGACTTACAGTCCACTCATTACAGCAACAATCCCCTTGGAGCAACGTAGAATTAAGAGCCTTGATCAAGGGCACAATGGTGATTAGCTTGTACCTTGCAGATACGCATGTAACTTTTCAACTCAACATTAAACCACTACACACCATTTTATTTTCATAATAGGTTTTACAGTTATTCTTACTCAGAGCTTAAGCTAAACTTCCTTGAGTACAAGATAGGAAAGGACCGAAGGTTTATACAGTATAGTGATTTAAGTGTTGTGTGAATATGTTTCTCATGTTACCAGCAGAGGGCATAAGAACCAGAATACAATGATGCAACAGGGCCTGTGAAACCTACTAAGGTTTTTTCTTCTAGTGGAGCAGATTTTAAGACAGGAGATGCTTAGATGTTAATTACTATATGCATGTGACTGTATTCAGACTGAATGGATTTTTATTACGATTGTTTATGATATGTCCCTGCTCACCTGTTGTATTTACTCCAAACTCGGAAATACGGCACAGCAAGGAAAAACGAAACAAAATAGAAGGGAGCACCTGCTCAGGGGCAGTCAATGCCAGGGAATGTGCATGATCATCAAATTGGTCAAAGTTACAATGAAAGAGCCATGGAAATGTCCAGGGCAATCTACTGGAACACAGTTCACCAAGTTTAGCAGGACCTTCTGACATGTTCTCATGCCCCTCTCTTTGTCTGTGTCCTTCACAAACAAAGAGAAATGCCATTGCCTGTGAGCCAATGATAAATCCCCTTGTCTTACGGCAAATAAGTCTAACTGTACTGTTTTAAAAGAACAGACACAGAACATTGTTTACCAGACGTTTTATTGTTGCTCGTACATTTTTCAAGACATTCAGTATTCGCAATATTAAAACACGTTAGTGTAGTTTTTGCTGTAGAAAGCCTATATAAAGCTTGTTTTCGTCATACTATAAGGTGTTGATCCAGTAATATCTATATTATGTTAAATCACAATGCTCTGGTCCAAAAAAAGATTGCTTTGGCAAAGAAAAACAAAAGCAGTTTGTGCAGCACATACTGTCGATTTGGTCAGAGATTCTGGATACACATTTACTTACCAACAATAGGTGTCATGCCATTTAAATGAATATAATCTAAACATTATTGACAGAGATTGCTCTAAATACAATCCCTAACTTTCACAAAATCATGACTAATTCTGTATAAGATAGTTATGATATAGCACGTGATCATGACATACATAAAAACAGTATGTAACTATTACACTGAATGTGATATGAACCATTTTAACTTTAATATTTTAACAATATAATGAACAAACTATAAACATTAACGATATTATATAACAGAAAAGATTTATGAATATGTAAAATGATGTGAAAATGGCCATAACTATCTTTGTCCTTACACTTTCTAAATAGAACGCAACCACAAAATATTCTTCATTATTAAATCATGACATGAAAATAGTGGAAAGATTTAGTTTTTTTTGTCACTTTAAGTTTTGGCAACAAAATCAAAATGTACATGTTTTACTTTTTGAATTGACTAAGAGATCGTCCCAGAGCATAGAACCAGGACTGGGGCTTAGTTTTAGCTCATAATGTACTATATAAGTGCAGGAACATTGACCTTGAGTCTATATTTGCTAATCATCAGTAGGCCTGATAAGAACCTAGCTTTACACACCCACAAACCTCATGAGCATTCATATTTTTAGCTCTGTGGATTGATTTTGGCCTTGAGCCCACTCTAATCCACCAGGCAAAACCGCCACTGGACCAATCACCATTTGCATCAAGATCAGTGAATTCAGTAACAACATAGATTGTTGTAAATTGATAGTTGTTTGTAAATTATATTTCTACAGCCACAGAATCTGTGAAAAAAAAAAAATTTAAGCTGAAATTTCTGCCATTTAGTACTGGTTGATTATCATTGACTACAAAGGGTTTAACACCATGAATCTGTGAGACCAGAAAACAAAGAAATCTAAATCCATCGTGATTTGAGGGCTAGCGCATAGAATAACTAGAAGTAGCCTTCAGATCATACTCCAGGGAGCCCTTCAGGGTGTCCAAGGGTTTTGCTAATTTTAATGTACCCCATCGCTAATGTTCAGTAATCTGTTGTTTGCTTGACAAAATCCAACAAGTACAACCAGACATTTTTAACCTATAAATAGCATTTTACAAAATGAAAATACTCAGAGCTCACCAAAATCTTTATTTTGATATTTTGGGCCGAAAGGGGCATCTAAAAAATACGTTGGAGGTCAAGACAGGGACAAGTCCATGTGTGAAGTAAGGTAGAAACACCCCATTATATGTAAACTTTGTATGGTAGCTCTATGCAACGCTAGCTTGCAATGTATCTCTGAACATCACTGCTCTACCTAACCAACAGTGGAGCTTTAATAGCTTCAACTAAGCAGACAAGGCTTTGGAATATTTAGAGATATAATTTAAGGACCATTTTCTTTAGCTAAATAAATATATATGCCAGTCTCAATCCATTTCCACCTTCCAGGAAAAGCCTGTACCTTTCTTTACCTAACCTAGGCATCCACAAACTGAAAAGGCAATCTCCAGACCTTCGATGATCACTTCAGTCTCCCACAGTACTGGGGTTAGAGCAACACACTGAACTTATAATGCCTTCGCTCTTCTTCCGTCGCCTGGGCTGCAGTGCCAGGCTGCTGACATTGTCCGTGGAGTCTTGCGTTTGAGCAGCTGCAGCTGCCGCAGCTGCAGTCTCTTTGATCTGAAGTTCCAGATGCCTTTGAATTGCTAGGCCAAGCTCTTCAGGGTCCACAGCTGCACCATACACCTCCCATGTCATACCCTCAGCATCCCATTCCACCTCCTTCACAGGGGTCCTATGACACATGTGCGCCGAAGGTGCTTCTGAAATAGGATCCGCTCTTAAACTAATTTCAGGAAACACATGAGAAAGAGGGGAAGCAAGGGAATCAGACAGGGTTTGCACACCAACATCTCTGAGCTCATGGTCAGATGTCATGGTAGTGGCATCTTTGACTGTCCTGTTAAATCCAGTCTGGCCTGTTCTGTCTAGTCGAAGGCGAGAAGAGTTCTGCCCCCTAAACTCAGATCCACAGAAATGGCCTGTACTGCAGCTGTCAAGTCTGGTCTCGCTGACTGAGGACACAAGTGGTGGAAAACCGAGCAAGCCTGAATGCAGCAGTGATCTTTGTCCTGCACAAGGGCTCCCTGCACAAGGTGGCCGTGCTATCAAATGTCCAGAGCATGGAACAACACTGCAAGTATTTCTCAAACAGGCAGTGTTCATCATGTGACCAGAACAGGTAGATCTGTGGCATGCAGTTAAATGATGACTTTCACAGTTGCTCTGAGCATGGTCTTCTGTATTCGCTCCCTGTGGTGTGAAGTTGTTGCTCAGACCCGAAGAACTCATTCTACAAGGCACTCTGCAACAGCTGCACCCTGTCAGGTTCTCTGCAGGTCCGCAACATGGACAACATCCCTCCCTGCACATCAGACCCTTCATCCTTAAATCTCTATTTGTGGATGGTGAGTGTGGCACACACTTCACACCACTATGGACCTGATTTTGCCCCAAGAGTGGATCTTGCATTGGAATTCTTCTGGGCGAGTCCTCCATGACACTCCAGGATCTTGCAGGTCCTCCAAGCCAGATTACAGTCTCAGGGGTGCTGTTGCCACTGCACATGCTCCCCTGTTCATGGTCACAAATGTTCACAGGGACTCCTGACGACGGTCCACCCAGACTGATAGGCCTTTGAGTACATGCTGCACTGCTGACGCTCTTACGCAAGTTCTGACGGGACCATGCCAGCTCCGTTCGTTGAGGAGGTCCACTCACCATTTCTGTCGAGTTTTTGGATAAAGAAATGAATGGCAACTCATGGTTCTCCACTGTTTCAGCATCAGCAGATCCAAGACTGATGCTTGGGAGGTAGATCTCAGATGTAGGTCTTTGTCTTTCCTCCATAGTGAATAAAGTACTGGTAAAGAAAGACATACAGTTATAAACATTTATTATTTACACAACATAATTTAAACAATTATACGTTTCTTAAGATGAAGAAGCACACCAAATTTTCCACTATTTAGTTGTCTACTAGGCAATACATTGAATTTGAATGACCCTTAAACCTTTACTTTTACCATAGATAAAGCTGAGATTTCTTTTGTCCTTACAGCACATAGATTAAAGTGAATAGGACAGGGGGATGCCTATGTATCTCTCCCTTGAGTGATTGACCAGATTACAGACGGATAAGCCCAATTTCAGTCTTAAGATCATTAGCTACAACATGGGAATGCCAGCTCCTCTCAAAAGGACATTAATCCACATGGTGCTCCAGCACAGGTGGCTGATTCCACTCCACATGGTCCCATAAGGACAGTAGGCTTACTGTAAATTTACAAACTGTGCCATACTTTAATGGACTTCAGATCATTACTGTAAGAGTGTGTTTCTCGTTTCCAGGAACTCGAGAGCTATGAGTGAATGTATGTCTGGCCTGTTCATGTTTACATCACACTTCAGCCACTCCAGCAGATTTTTTGGGAGACACTTTTGGGTCTGTCACTCCCTACGGTCAACACACACATACTGCTGACTCCAAACTACAACACACTCGCACTCTAATCTGTACAGTTATTCAAGGCACACTTCAATACTGTACGTAATTTTACAATGTAGTGGTTACTTGCCATTGAGGTGCCATTTTAAAGCAACTTGCAATGCACTAAGTGAAGGAATATTTCCTGTGAAGCAACCAGAGGTTAAGTGCCTCAAAGATACTGGCATTTCAGAACTGTCAGGAGTAAACTCAGAAATAAACTTGCAACCTTTGTGTTGTCTGCTCGGATTCTTAATCATTAGGCCATCACCATCTGTTTATGTCCCTGTGACTACTTGCTGAATCATACCATATAAATCTAACTTCCAAGGATGCCCACACAGATTCTGTATATGCAGAACTCTGAAGAAAGCTCAGCAGATTTCTGCAGAATTGGAACACGCAACATTCACAAAGTTCTACAAATCTGCGATCCCTTGTGTGTTTATTTTTTAAACATTGTAGTGAATTTGACTATGCTTTCATCTAAGTGTGTAATAGACTTTTCTATAATTCAGGTACCATGTTCTCAAGAAAAGGTGTATGGTTCTATGGGAGCAGAAAGCTGATGTGTGCCAAAGCCAGTGTTCATCATCCATCACATAAACTGCAGAAAATCTACAAAAAATTATATGATCATAAAATGTATCTGCAGGGTAGCACTTGTTTTCAACAAGATTTTTTTAAAACAGTTATTTAACACTATTTAACACTAATAAGTATATAATTTGGTGAGAGTTACAAAATGAATGAATGAATGAATGAATGACAGATGTTATCTCTCCACATTTTTCATGGGAAAACATGATACTTATCTTCCCACTGCATCTAAAAATAATAGGCAAGGTGTTCACTGTTAACCCTCCTCTTCCTCCTCAACCCACAGTCTAACCTCCATCCTTGCAGACAACCATACACCTGTACTGGTGCCAGACTGTGACACACACACACACACACACACACACACATAAATAAATATAAACACTCCAGTGAACCTCTCATCCCCTACATGAAAATCAAACAAGAAAGATCTCACCTTTTGGTTTTATTAGCAAACATACATGATCCAGTCAAGACCTTGTGTCACCCTTTGTCTTTCCTTCCTTGTCATCTTCACTTCCCTTTTTTTAAAGCCTCGTTTTACCATTTCCTTTCAAACTGAGCAGCACTTGCTTTATGAAGACACAGCTACGGTTTCCCTCATGGCCACAGGTAAGTCAACAACCTCCCTCTCTCTCCACACACACACACACATGCACACGTACATACCTCCCACTTCCTCCTCTCGTCTCCTTCCCCTCTGCCCAGACGGATCCCGCCTCCTTCACTTCTTTCCTCTCCTCCACTCCTGCTCTTTAGCTCCGCTCTAAGTGAACAGGACAGAGTGGGTGTATTGCTGGATTATCAGTCGTTGTCATCTGATTACACACCACATGCTCCCTCTCTGAGAGGAAATCCACCGTGGAGGGGGGAGGAGGTGCAAAGACACACAGACAGAAATGGTGGGTGGTAAGGAGCGCTGTACGCCCAATGGAGGGGAGCACAATTGTGTAAAAAAAGTGTGTGTATGGGGTGAGAAGTGGGATTTAGAGGAAGAACAGGTAGGTACTATTGAGATGTCACAAAAGGAAATCAGATATCCTTCCAAATCAATACAATAAATACTCTATCTTTCTTACACACACATGTTCATTCTCACACACTCGTAGCTCCTGCCGCTTACTCATCCAGTCTCTCTCTTCCTGTTGCTATAGAAACAGCCATGCTCAATAGGAACCCAAAGAATTTTCATCGTGTCTTTTTTTTAAGTTGTCATGGGAGCAATGAAAACAGTCCCTTTGAAAGAAGGGCTTGTGGTGCCAAGAAACCATTATGATATATGTCTGTGTCTTTCTGATTCACATGTCCATATACTTGGCATTGCAAACTCACAGGTTGCCTGTTCCATAATAACTCCGGTTCAGAGGTTACGCAAAGGCAGAATCCTGACATGTTGTTTTGTGTATAAACATGCTGAAGTTACATTGTTTAAGTTTTTAACCGCCCTTGAACAAACCAGAATGGTTTTTTCCCTATTTACGGAGACATTTGGGACCAGTTGCTGTAACGACATTTTGTTGGCATAATAACACAGATGCTGTCTATTTGTTGATACATTAAATCAGTTGTGTCAGGTGTATTTCCACTGGAATTATAAACTCTTATGCCCAGCCTTAATTGAATGTTATATTAGGCAAGACTCCTTGAAGTTAACTTAAAGTGATAGTTCACCCAAAAATGAAAATTCTGTTCTCATCTGTACTGATGTCAGTTCAAAACTGTATGACTTTCTTTTTTTCTGCAGAACACAGAATAAAATATTTTGAAGAATGCTGGGGTTCCCAATGACTTTAAGTATATGTACAAAAAATTCTGTTTTCTTTTTGTGTGTGTGTGTGTTTTCCACAGAGAAAGTAGTCACACAGGTCTGGAATGTCATGAAAGTAAGTCAATTCACCCTTTGCAAGGATTTTGATTGACAGGCGATCTGACCAATCATAACACTGAATCTGCCATTTTGTCCGACAAACAAACCAGACAGGAGAGTATTAACGAGATTAACGTCGGTGGACTTGAACTTGAAAAATGGTGTGTATTGACGCCTTTCCGCGGTTGAAACAAGATACCTTCTGATGTTCATTCGTGCTTATTTCGTGCTATAACCAAAGAGGAAGAGATGATCGGTTCACATGCCGCTTGAACTGAGGCGCTACCGCTATCTGTCACGATACATTAAAGAGCCACAAAATGGATTTATTGTTTGAATTTCTTTAAAAAAAATGACACAATTTGAAAGCTGATACTTTGTTGTCGGTACGTTGTCATTGTCCTCCACGTTGTCCATTGTCCTTTGCTCTTCAATAAGTTTTTCACTGCGTGGGAAAATGATGTGTGGCTTGTCGGATGTAGTAACAGTAAGGGGGAGGGTCTTTGCGAAGGGTCAATTATGACAAAATTTTGGGGTGAACTATACCTTTAAATTGTTCACTTTCAGTGCATGATATAAGATGATTACTTCTTACAGACAAATGTGTTTTATTATTAGATATAATACTGGAAATATGATGCATACTATATATGGTCTAATATATATAAAACAATTTTTTGCTGCTTTTTCAGTTTACTGAAAATTAGTTGGGACAAAATTCTTAAATATTTTATCTTAACTTCATTGCCCAGTTTGTTTATAAAATGCAGATTACTAAATCCATTTGTGTTGAGACTACATTAACATTTTTGTTGACATAATCTGAAACTGGACAGGGTTCCCAGCATGCTTTGCATAGAACTAGATATTAAGCTGCTAACATGCACTGTTGCTAGCTAGCTCTTGCCAGCCAAGATCCAAGATCAGTTACTTTGACACATCAAATTTTATTGGACTTTACTCAATTCAGTTAGGTTTATGCTACTACATACAGTATCCGAGATGAGTTTAGAGTAAGTAACTGGTGTTTTTATTGCAATCAAATGTCTTGAAACTCCATGCAGATTAACCACATTTAGAGGTATTGTGGGAAAAGCAGACGTGTCGCCTGATTGCAGCCTTGATAAACTTCCCCTGTTCTCCAAGAGTTATTCATTAACGCTTAGTGAATGCAGCTGTTGCAGACACCATAACATTCAATCTGTAGTTATTAAACCACAGTCTATGAGCCCTGTGGTGGCTGATTCACTGAGATCAAATCATATTACAGAAGTCACATCCATTGTTCAATTAAACATTTGAGAATAGCTTTCAGCAATTGCCACTTTTATTTAGAAGTCCTTTTAGCTTGCTAATTGCCTGTAAACAGTCACAGTTTGTATGCTCACTGGACTGCATCAGGGTTTTGTGTCTGTTTGGAAATAAATACTGCAACTGGCAGAGCTCATATCGCTCACCTGCTTGAGCCAGTGTTCGGTGTTGATTAACTATCCTGGGAAGCCTCAGGGGGACTGTAGTACCCTGCTGTAGGGTGACCAGGCTGTCGGAAGACACAGCTTACTCTCAATGGGACATCGGGAAGAGCGCCCATGAGATGGCCTCTGGGCAAAATGAGAAACCGGTGATTGGTGATTCACACTGACTCTACTGGAGAGAAAGAGAGACTTTATTCAGTTAGGAGTTAGACAGACTGTGGCCATCCATGGCCGGTGAGTAGAAGATTATTAGAAACTGTTGTACAAACTATACTTGAGACCTATTTTACACAGATATATTACTATGTGATAGTGGATCTTTAAGACAAACAGATGACATTGTTTGTTTTACCAGGCTGCAAATATTTGATCATCTTATACAACTTAATGTAAGCTGCTCTAGACACATTATTACATGCTATGTATGTTAGTTGCACAGAAGCTTACTTTACCAGACACGAGGGTCTAGTGCTGTCATAGCGACATGTATTTCTGTGCGTGCTAATGTGATATGCTAATAGACACTGCTGAGCAGATGGTTGACCCCTGTACACTAATAATCTTCATGTGCAATTGAACAATTATTGACCAGTGAGGCAAAGTGCCCTTAAAATGTGCAATTATGAGAGTATGCTGCTTAAATGCATATATACAAGCTCTCCCTTTTAGCTTATGGATACCAGTAGTTACTATCTGAGAAACAACTGTGAATGTCAAAAGCTTATTTAAAGGGACAGTTCACCCAAAAATGAAAATTCTGTCATCATTTGAGCACAAAAGTAGATATTTTAAAGAATGGATCTATCCTAAAATGAGAGCACCAGAGCCCATTGAACACTGTATGGACAATAGTCAAAATATCATCTATTAATGTTTCAAAGAAAAAAGGAAGTAATACAGATTTGGAACGACATGAGCGTGAGTAAATGGTGACAGAGTTTTATTTTTTGAGTGAACTATCTCATATTTAAATATGGATCTGTATACTAATTAAATGTAAAAGTAAAGCTAACTAACACAATAAAACACAATAAAAACATGATTTTTGAAAATTTAACAAAACCGAGTTATCTGTTTTTGCAAATAAACTCTTCAAATAATACTATAACATTAAGCTTGTTTGCTTACATTTAATTAGTGTACAGATACTTTTTAAAATCCTTGACTAATCACAGCAAGTCTTAAAGAGATACTATAATATAGTATTTAGTATATTATTATATAATATATAAGATTTAAGATTTATGTAAATTTCACTCTTAATTTCTAAACTATGAGCTGTATTAAATGACTACAATACCTGTTAGGAAGTTCTGGTTCACCCTCCAGGTGGCTGCAGTAAATCCCCTACAGTAAAGAATAAAACAGGCTGTTGCTCTAGAAATACTGTGTTTCTTGAGCAGCAAAAACACAATGTGCTCCACCTCTTGCATGCAGGTGTGTGTTGACACAAGACACTTGACACTTCTATTCAAAAGGCATGAGAAAAGAGACTGTCCAATGGTGTCACACAGCAGGTTTAGTTAATGCAAAGCCATGTTCTCTGTTGTATGAAACACTGAGTGAGAGGGGAGGGTGACTGGCCGCTGAGTTTGTTTTGTGTTTGTGCCATTAGATCCACTTGTAGCACTGGCGTGTGGACTGTCTGCAACATTTCTGTTCCTGTTGCTGTTTGGCCTATCAGTGTATCTACTGTGGAGGAAGAGACGAAATCAAACACTCTACAGGGGACTGATACCTACCACCCCCACAATCCCACGATGCACCACTCCAGTGCTTCAGACATCACAGAGCAGCAGCTATGGGTAAATAACAGTTGTTGCTTGTCTAGAAATAGCAAGAATACAAGCTGTATACAGTATCATTGCAATGTAAGGTGAACTAAATTGAATAAATACATCCTATTCAAGCTCTTGGGCTTTTTTAGCAGTAAAGGGAGCCTGGGACTAGTTGTCACAAGGACTAATAACGTTTTGTGTGCACAAAGACATTTTCTCTAGCAGTAGAACAGTTTTTTTTTTTAGCCAATCCTTCATGGTATTAGAGAGATTGGTGCTATATATATTTACTTTACTAAAATGTGAATTTTTATATTATTTATTTGTATTTCCTAATTAAATGTCTATTAATAAATATTATTATTAATTTATGTTACTATATTAAAAGCTATTATTATAGCATGCATTTATTTGTTTGTTTGTTAGTTTATCCTAATTGCATTTTAACCTACATATACATTATATGCAGATATAAAAGTGTAAGAAAATAAACATACAAACAAACGAACAATAAGTAATAAGTAAATAAAGAATACAATGAAAAAGTATCAAAATGTTATTTATTATAGACTTATTTACTTATTGTGTTTATTTTTATTTCGTAATAAAATTATATGCAGCTATAAATTACACATTATATAA